CAGAGTTAGATTGGGAAAAGCTGTGGCGGGACCAGGTGTTCGGGGCCAAGATGAATGAGACAAATGGACACAAACTTCTTTTTTTCTAGGGATTCAGAGGCGGCGTTAGGCATCCAAAGTGCGACCATGGGAGGCTCGTTTTGGACCAGAATTAGATTGGGAAAAGCTGTTCGGGGCCCTTCCCACAACCTCCACGACAACGATGGGGCTTCTGGGGTTTGGCCCTCCCCTAGTTGTGTGCCTTTGCAGTCGTGCGGCGACGAGCGCATTGAGACATATAAACGCCAGGAGTACAAAGCAAGGCTCGATTGGGGATGACAATTTTGTCTGATCCTCCGGCACAGAACGCGCCATGTTTTTATGCTGCAACATTCCATGCCTGACAAGAACAAGCCTTGCCGTTGGGTGTGTGGTGTTGGACTTGAATTCGTCCATTGGGCTTGGCTGACAAGACGCGCACACCACATCGTGGACAATTGTGCTCGTGTTGGCGACCAGCAAGTGCACCGTCCAAGACACGAAATTTGTGGCCGCACTTTCCTCGATGGTGGACTCGGCCAGTTTGGACCCCACTGCGGCATGGACCTTTGCAGCGTGGGCAGACGTATTCATACAGCCTTGTCGGCTCCACTCTGACCTGATTCCCTGGATTCGCCTCGGGCACCTCCGGATTGAATGCGTGGCCATGCGTTGGCGCGTGTGGCTGCGCGCTTGACGTGGTTTGTTTGCCTTGTTTGGATTCTGGTTTGGGGCGAGTCTCTGTCGTGGCTTGGCGTTTTGTTTGACGACGACTGTGCGGGACTGTGCTCGGCAGTGGCTCGATGGACGATGCGTGTGGTGCCACGACACTTGCGCTTTGTTTGGGGCGCTTTGCGGCGTTGGCTTCCTGTGTGCCGGAGTCCGTCGGAGCCAGACGTTTGCGTTCGTGGACGTGACTGGCGATGAGGTCTTTGATTTCTTGCAGGATGTGCTTTCGGTGGATTCGTTGGCGCAGCGACGCTACACGCGCGTGGCTCTTGGCGGCGACGCGTTTGCGTTGGAGGGTCTGGCTGCGTGTCGTGTGACACGCATCGCACACTTGTTTCCCGTCTTTTCCGGAAGGGCGTCGGCGGAGAAAGCTGGTGTACTGGTCTCGTTGTTTTCGTTGTCGACAGTGTGCACAAGTCCAAACGCCGCGGGTTCTACGTTGGCAAGTCAGGCACTTTCGCCGCTGCCCGTGTCTTAGTCGCCAGGCAGCAGCGCTGAAATACTCTTTAGGTAGAGTTTTCTGGCACACGAAGCACTGCTTCTTTACTTCACAGGACAAACAGACGCGGTCTGCGCTCCACCGTGGGTTTAGCTGCTTCGAAAGGAAGTGGGTGGCGGCATGCCAGACACCACATTGGCTGCAACGGTACGGAGTACCTGCATCACGCTTTTGCGATGTGCACTCCTTGCAAACACGAGAGATGTCTCGGCGCAACTGGCCCTTTGTGAAGCCGTCTTTCCGTTTGCTTTCATTGCATTCCATACACAGCCTTTCATCGAGGTATTTTTTGCGTAGGGAGTCCCAGTCAATTTGTTGTTGTTTCCAGACGTCCAGCAGCAGCTGCCGTCCCAATGGCAAACCAGCCTGCAGAGGCGCCAAAGGAAAAGGACGGTAGATCATAAGCTTTTCCCGGGCACGGCAACGTGTCAGTCCCACGTAGACTGCAATTGGATCGGGGTTAGCTGGAATATCCACAATGGCACCGTGTTCTGCAGTGCAGCCTTGTAGAGCGTGAGTTGTTCCTGCGAAATCGGGCGCAAGTGGGAACTGAGTCCGCGTTACTTTTAGTTTGGGACCATCTTTACAGAGTTGCTAGTGACGTGTTGCCAACCAATGGAGGAAAAGCCGGACCTGAGAATCGGGGTCGGCGGCAGGGGCGGCAGCCCTTAAATATGTATGTATGTATGTATGTATGTATGTATGTATGTATGTATGTAT